ATCTATGTTAGTCGTCCTGTTGCCAAACTTTTGATAACAGGATGACCCACGCGCTGAACCCTCCATTTCAGCTAACGTGGACCTTCCTGCATGAGCCTCTCATGGCGACAAAAATCATCAAAAATCATCAAAAATCACAGCTTCAAAATAACAACTAACATGGACCAATTCCGGCTTTGTAAAAAACAACATAAATTCAACTAACATGGACTGCCGTTTTTTTTTCGTAATAAGTTAGATTTCGGGAGAGTAATTCCTTTAAATTCCATTAAATTCCTTGAAAGATACATGACATGGGCCTTCCAATCCCTCAAAATTCTTTAAAATTCGTTTAAATTCTTTTAATTTCCTTTAAATTCCTTTAAATTCATTTACATTCCTTTAAATTCTTTTTTTTTTAATTCTTTTAAATTCTTTAAAATTCCCTGAAATTATTTTAAATTCCTTTAAATCCCTTCAAATTCCTTAAAAGACGAATTTATCACATGACATGGGACTTCCAATTCCTCAATTCCTTAAAATTCCCTTAAATTCCTTTAAATTCCTTTAAATTCCTTAAAAGACGAATTTACCACATGACATGGTACTTCCAATCCCTTTAGCTTCTTTCAAATTCCTTAAAGTTCCTTTAAATTCATTAAAGTCACTTTAAATTCCTTAAAAGACGAATTTACAACATTACATGGGACTTCCAATTCCTTAAGTCCTTAAAATTACCTTAAATTCCTTTAAATTCCTTAAAAGACGAATTTACCACATGACATGGGACTTCCAATTCCTTAATTCCTTAAATTTCCTTAAATTTCATTTAAATTCCTTAAAAGACGAATTTACCACATGACACGGGACTTCCAATTCCTTGAAATTCCTTTAAATTCCCCTAAAATCCTTTAAATTCATTAAAAGACGAATTTACCACATGGCATGGGACTTCCAATTCCTGATTTTTTTTTAATTCCTTTAAATCCCTTTAAATTCGTTAAAAAACGAATTTACCACATGGCATGGGACTTCCAATTCCTTTAATTTTTTAAAATTCCCTTAAATTCCTTAAAAGACGAATTTACCACATGACATGGGACTTCCAATTCCTTTAAATTCCTTTAAACTCCTTTAAATTCTTTAAAATTGCTTTAAATTCTTTGAGATTCCTTAAATTCATTTAAATTCCCTTAAATTCCTTTAAATTCCTTGAAAGATGAATTTACCACATGACATGGGACTTCCAATTCCTTTAAATTCCTTTAAATACCCATAAACTCCTTTAAATTCCTTAAAGGACAAATTTACCACATGACATGGTACTTCCTATTCCTTTAAATTCCTTTAAATTCTTGAAAATTGCTTTAAATTCTTTGAGATTCCTTAAATTTATTTAAATTCCTTAAAAGATGTATTTACCACATTACATGGGACTTCCAATTCTTGAAATTCTGAAAAATATCTTTAAATTCCTTTAAATTCTTTTACATTCCTTTAAATTCTTTTAAATTCTTTAAAAGTCCTTAAAATCCCTTTAAATTCCTTAAAATCCCTTTTAATTCCTTAAAAAACAAATTTACCACATGACATGGGACTTCCAATTCCTTAAAATTCCTTAAAATTCCAGCTGCTCAGCTCCGACCCGTCCGGACGGTTTTCCAAATAGTTGCTGAATAGCTTCGAAATAGCTGCTAAATAGCTTCTAAGTAGCTGCTAAATAGCTGCTAAGTAGCTGCTAAATAGCTGCTCAATAGCTGCTAAATAGCTGCTAAATAGTTGTTGAATAACTACTAAATAGTTGCTAAATAGCTGCTAAATTGCTGCTAAGTAGCTGCTAAATAGCTGCTCAATAGATGCTAAATAGCTGCTAAATAGTTTCAAAATAGTTTCCAAATAGTTGCTGAATAATTGATAAATGGCTTCCAAATAGTTGCTGAATAATTGATAAATGGCTTCTAAATAGCTTCGAAATAGCTGCTAAATAGCTGCTAAATAGCTTCGAAATAGCTGCTAAATAGCTGCTAAGTAGCTGCTAAATAGCTGCTAAGTAGCTGCTAAATAGCTGCTCAATAGCTGCTAAATAGCTGCTAAATAGTTGTTGAATAACTACTAAATAGGTGCTTAGTAGCTGCTAAATAGCTGCTAAGTAGCTGCTAAATAGCTGCTCAATAGCTGCAAAATAGCTGCTAAATAGTTGCTGAATACCTGCTAAATAGCTGCTAAATAGTTGCAAAATAGCTTCCAAATAGTTGCTGAATAATTGATCAATGGCTTCTAAATAGCTTCGAAATAGCTGCTAAATAGCTTCTAAATAGCTGGCAAATAGCTGCTGAATAAATGCTAAAGAGCTGCTAAATAGCTAAATAGCTTCTGAATAGCTGCTAAATAGTTGCTAAATAGAACAAGGAGGTGAATGGATTCATGTGACTTTGGAATATTATTCTAACTGCTGACGTATAATTTTGGATTATTCCAACTGCTAGTCGGTAGTCATACCCTCATATACTATCTTTGTTCATGTGGGATGTGAAATGTACAGTGTGTGAGTTAGTTGACATGACATGTTTTGCATCTTTTTGGATGCAGAGGTCCCATGTCATGTGACTTTTTTTTCCGAGGCACTTTACAGATGACACGGGACTTATGCATTTTTCTGCTTTTTTCACTTTGCAGATGACATGGGAGTTTGCGTTTTTTGGGTATGTCCGACAACTCCCATGTCATCTGCAGGTACTATAATGATATGTATATATTATTATTATTGTTATTATTGTTATTATTGTTATTGTTATTTGATACATTAATATAATTATAAATTAATGTTGGTGTAAATGTTTTTAATATATATGTTTAAATAATTTTGTGTAACTATATATATATGGGGCCAGCAATCCAGATTGGATTACCAAAACAGGATTTTACAATTATTGTGTGGTCAACCCAACAGTCAACCCTAAGTGTTTGAACATGATTAACCCCCAAATACCACTAATTGCTACTCACGAACATCAACAATCAAACTTCGCCAGTTGCAGTAAACTTTTTGTTATATATACTCACCATCCGATGTTTGCAATCAGTCCGATGTTTTGTTACATATACCCACCAATCGTCAGAGAAACTGACCATCAAACTCAGACAGCGGCGCACCTTGCTACAATCCACAAGGTAGCCACGGCTAAACCTGACCGTGACACACTGTGGGAAGTCCCTAAATATCAAGAAAGCAAACGCGTCCGATTTTGAGATTTGGGGGACAGAGTAGAAAATAAGCCTCGCCATGAGTTTCCATGCTGGGTTTTACACGTTAGATTGTTAGATGGACATAGGCTTCCACTCCCTGGTACTAAAGGAGTATTCATGACCAATGTCAATCCCGCAATTAATCTGCAGGGCTGTTTAGTTGGGGGCTTCCCATTTCACCGTTTCCGCAAGAGATTTTCACTATTTGGAGAGAACCCCCTGATGAGTCAACCGAAATAGTTCTGTAATCATGTCAACCCCCTCTTTTGATTGATGGGAAAATGTTCCTCCCAAGTGGAGGTTGATTAACCAACTACTCTCCGGCAATTTATCATAGCTATGGACAACGACCCATTTGGTTTGATGAGTTTTACCTTAGAGATTTTAGGCTACCAGGGGAAATCTGAAAATATCAGGGTGGATCAATCCGTTGGGACCCTCAAAAATCACCCCACGAGTTTCGTAAGAGGTTCGTTGTCTGGGGTTATAATCCAATGACAAACGGGATAGCCCAGGAATGAAGGACTTATGATCACCAGGATTGTTGACCACTTAATTACTAAGTCCATGGGGATTTAACCACCCTACAAGGTGACCTTATATTCGCGGTTGGTGGTGGTTAATGAATCGTAATGAAGGCAAACACTGCCACTTTTTTTGTGTGGAATCCCTGTGATAAGTGGGATCTAGATTCCTTCAGGTAATCACCATTGAACGTGTCAACATCCCGGTCGCGGTACAAGGTCCGCTCGCCTTCCCCACGGTGCCCGGCCCAGCGCACGCAGTCTGGGACCGCCCAAGCGGCCCAAGCGCTTCATTTTTTAGACACGGGACTGCGGCAACGGATTTTTGTCCACGTGTTTTCCACTGAAAATGGGAGAAATTTGGCGTAAAACCAAGACAAAATTAGGATATGAGATGATATGAGATGATACACGCGAGGTTTGTGATGGGATGAGCTGGATCTAGCTGGGCGCAGCAATGGCGCAACTCGAAGTTGTCTATGCTTTACTGGGGGTTTCGAACCCAGCTACCAGTCAAATTTTCTGACTGCAAGGATCATCCAAGAGCTAGTCTACTACAGTGATCGGCCCTGCAGTTACATACTACGCCACAATCAACCCCTAGCCATTCACAGTGCTGGGTGTTTTTTAATCAAATGATTCAAATGGGATTCCTTCCCCGATCCGATTAAAGATACCTCTCCCCAAAAAAAACATGTGACCCCAACATCAACAGATTCCGTAACCTCTGGTAATTTGACATGGCAATGGAAAATCTCAACTCTTAGAGAAAATATGGGAAATCGTTCGTTGCCAGATGTTGCCAGATTAAATTACAAGAAAGGGACCCCACCATGCTGCGTGCCCGCCCCGGTTCAACAACCTTGACCCAAGAGACCTATCAAGCTTATCAGCACAATATCAATATATGTTCCCACCGCCAAAATCATCCAACAAATCACTTCTAGTGAATCAACATATGGAAAACCATCAATACGTAGATCATTTTCGCCGGAAAGTTCATGGATTTACCGGCGCGTATAACCCCTACACCTACCATTTTTCCAGTCGCTGTACCACTTTCTGCTTGCCGACAAAACATCCACGGAGGCGCGCGGCATTTCTGATGTGCACAATCGCCTGTCTCTCCGATTGCTAGGTTCAGGAACTTCATTTTCAGTTGGTTAACTTACTCACGGCCAGTCAAAATATGGACAAGACAACAACCATGACTAACCTACTTAAACCTTGCAATGAAAATATGGCTAACGACAATCACCATCGCCAACCAACCAAAATTTTGCGGGCGGTCTTCACATCGACAGCTGCGCAAAGCGCTTCTGACAGCGGTCTTCAAATTTCTTGAGGCGTTCCTGGCGATGGAAACAGTGGGGAGGGCAAATGTGGCAGAACATGGAACAAACTACAGTATGGCTTCTATCCCCAGTCTGCAAGGCAAAACCAGAATCCTAGCTGCAAGGGGGAAATGCAGAAAACCTGGAGGTGGATATGTATGGATATGTTTTTATCACACAAATCTGACACTGGTAAAGTTTTCGGCTAGCGAAATGCAATCCTGGATCTGCCATTTAAATTTCACGTCAGCAGCGCGCTATAGAGGAGCGACTACTATTTCACACGCTTCTACAAAAGACCGAAAATATAATGTTGCGCGCCAACATGCGCCCTTTTCGAGGGGCACATGCAGGGAAGCAGGGTGACAGTTTCCTTTTTTTAACCGTGCAGACTGCAGAAATCTGTGCACAAAACCTTAGCCCTTGAAATTGTGAAAAAATGAACAAAAGTAGAGAGGTACTCGGCTGAGGAAAAATGAATTAAGAATGTGTGAAACATCCTCGAAATTCTCAACGCCTTTCACATAGCCAGCACCCACCTTCGCGTAGTCATTCTGTATGAAGTTGAGGGTAACGGAAAGAAAATATATATTTAGTGCAGCAGAACCAGGAACCATTGTCTCAGCAAAAAAAGATCAAAAAAGTGAAGGTGAACGAATTATATTTTAGCTAGTGAACTGTTTAAGAACAAACAAGCCAATCAACTTAGAACATTCACCCTGACCTGAGTCAGGATGTGCATTCGGTGCCGAAATTCGGTGACGAAATTCGATGATGAAAATTCAGTGCCAAAAAAATGTGACAAAAATTCAGTGAGATCTTCGATTGCTGGGCGCGTATGATGCTAGTTTCGGTTCATTGATCATTAGGCAAAGATGCTCTGCCTATTGAGCGCATTTGTGATTACAAAGCTTTGGTGCTCTCGGTTGTTGTAGTTGTAGTCATATTCTTCATTGCGTCCTAGCATCCCAAAAGCATCTTGGAAGGATTGTAGCAGCCAGGAAGTTCGAGGTTTTCCGGGTCGTCGATGTTCTATGCGGGGTGTGGAGGAATTGTATTCAAACAGCGCTTGTCGCAGCGGATCGTCTGGATTTGTTCTCAAAATGTGGCCAAAAAGTTTCAACTTGCTCTTTAACCATGTACTGGAGAAGAGTTCAACTTCAGAGTCAAAATTGCTTTTGAAAGTTTCAAAGACTGTCTCGTTCGTGTATGAACGGTCAATGCATGTGGGCGAAACCTTGAGAATTCGTCGAAAATCCTTCATTTGAAAAGCATTACAGCCATTTTATCCTTATCTGAGGTTGTGAGTTCTATACATTCGGGTCCATACAATACTTTGCTTTTCAAGATTGAATCAAAAACACGGATTTTCCACTTGATGGTGGTACGAGCTTTGTTCCAAAACACTTTCAACCTATCACATATCATATCGCCATTGCCGCTGCCAATCTGTTAAGCACTTCCCGTTGGTTATTTGCACTATCTGAAAGCAGCGTTCCCAAATATATTGCTTCATGTTTTCGGGGGACGGGCGCTAACCGTTGGGTTCCGCACGTCGTTCTCAGTGGGCGTCGGCACCTGGGGACGTGCTTTCCGGCGAGGGGCCCGAGATACACTCTCGCAACATAGGTTATCCGATGAAACTCACTGGCGTTGATGTCCGCCAGCCGAAACAGAAAGGTCACTCCATGCACTGGTTCTTACCCGTCTGCCGCTGTCCTCTGAGGTTCTGGCTACCTCTGGAGCTGCCGTCTCCAAGAGGTTCGTCGTAGTCATCTAGACTAAGACACTTGGCCTCCCGCAGGTCAGCCTGCAGCTGCGCAGGGCTAGTTGGGTTCTCTTTCTGAAGGACACCTGTGCGATTTACGACATCTAGTCGGGGATCACTTACGTCCCGTTTCCACTAAAACGAGGCAGGACCAAACTTGCCGCGTGTGATTTGTTTTTGTCTCTTCCGGCCTCCTCTTTTTGGCGTTGTGCCTGCAGTGCCGCGGTGTCCAGACCGCATTCATTCTTCCTTTCTCCATATGACGCATGATCCGTGATGAATTCGGATGTATATTGTCTGCTTCGGCATGAACCCAAGACATAATGTATAAAGGCGCTTCGATTTGTAATTAATGCAAGCCTCTTCTTGACGCTCCTGTCGTTCGAACTCCGCCTGGCATTGTTGGCTGCGTATAAGCAGATAGCTTGGCGGCTGTTTGTGTGCAGAGATCTGTTCTTTTCTGTCTCTTTAATTTTCTCTTTCTCTCCGGTGCTCTGCTAAGCCCGATGCGTTCACGTCGGCTTGGAGCTCCTCGTCCTCGGGAATTGTGACGATTTGTGACGTGTTGCTATCCATCGCATGATGCTTCCGTGTCTGCCATCTGTCCATGTGTTTTGGGTTCTTTTTCCGTCGGTCTGTCATTGAGGTCTGTTTGACTGAGTGGCCCCGGGGCGCTGGTCACTGATGCAGCCTGGCAACGGACGTGCGGTTGAGAACGGGGCCCGAAAAATTGGGCACCACTGCCTCGGGTGCTTTCCTTGAGGCCGCGACCTTTGTGCGCACTGCACTCCAGCTCACTAGGCGCGGTGGCACCACCCGAGCCTGGCATGTGTGGCCGGGAGCACCGTGGGTGCGGTTCTGCTTCCGGTGGGCCCTCTTTTTCGATTTGGTTTCATGAACAACGAACTCGACACGAGGCGTCCGTCTGCAAGCCATGCTGGGACGGCCCCATCCAGATATTTGACGCTAGCTTGTTTCTGGTGGTGCATAAGGTTCAGTTATAGTTATAGTTCAAATTCAGATTGTAGTATGAGGATTCCCGCTGTATTGCGTGCAAATATTTATTGATTGATTGGGTATGTGTCCCAAAATCAAAGTATCATCTGCATAGAGGACTTCTGCATGTCGTATCCTTTAATGGGTTCCAATTGCTTCGGTGTGTTGAGTTTGGATTTGAAATCTGAAAAAAGGGCCCCCATAAGAAGTATAAATAGGAATGGTGATAGGGGGCATCCTTGGCAGATGCCTGACTCTTGTCTTCTGTACCTGGAGGAGATTCCTTCAGTTGTAATTTTAAATTTTGGGTGATCGTACCTGTGAGATACTAGTCGCAACATGTTTGGGGTGTCTTAAGGCGCCTCAAAACTCGTAAGAGTTTAGATTGATTAAATGATTAAGTTTATCAAAAGCTCTCTCCCAATCTTAAAGTACCAACGTCATATTCGACTGTTGTCGTTCGGCTATGTCCAAGAGCCGTCTTGCCACAAAAATGGCTTGCTATGTTGATTTCTTGGGTCTAAAACCAAATTGAATATTTTGAATCCAGGAGTCATATGCGCACTGGAAACGATTGCGGACTAATCTAGCAAGGATCTTATAGAAAACCTGACGTAGGGCTATGGGCCTGCAATTTTTCATTTGAGTGGCATCCCCTTTCTTATACAGAGCAGCAATGTTGGCCAATGTGAAACATTCAGGGTAAATGCCGTTGATATGAATATTAATATCATTGAAAAGATCCAACAAATACAGTCTGTTTATTCCAGAAAGCCATTTGACTAGTTCTGACCTACAAACGTCTGGACCAGGCGCCTTATTGTTCTTCAGCACCGTCAAGACTGCATCAAGTTCGTGAAGGGCGAACGGAGAATCATCCATGCTGCTGTTACCACGACAATTTCCCTACATGCAATATCATGAAGAGCTGCAGCGTATCACTTGGAGAGAATACAGACCCCTCGACGCACTGCAGGATCCGTGACCATTCGCCACATATCTTTGAACTGCATTTGCTTCGGATCAGAGGAGAATTTACAAAGCGCAGATTGTAAGACTAAGAGGAGGGATCCACTGTTGAAAGCTGCAAAACCCCACGACATGCAAGGAGATAGCCGTGGTCTCCCGGTCTGCCACTGGCATACCCCGATGGGGAAGGCGGCAAGCCAGTTTGTTACCTCTGCGCCCAGGTGGTGAGAATTTCGAACGCATGCCATCCTGCCAAAAAAGAAGCAGCCAAACAGAGAAGAGCCATGCCAGGGCCCCCCAAACCCTGTGTGAGGAGGCTTCGTGTGGAGTGGCCACGGCTTGGAGAAAAGCGAGAGGCAACCAAAGAGAGCGCAACCGAAATGCAGTACACGACACGAGCCATAGAGTAGATGTCTTGGCCAATACCATGAGGGGTTCAAGCCGGTCATTAAACCTTAGTAGACAAAGCTGACCTTAGTAGAAAGTTCAAACCGAAGTGCTGCTGCATAGCAACTCACATACCTGCTCACGCTTGTGCCAAGACCTACACTGGTAGAGTGTTCCTGCAAAATATTCCCTTCATCCAATTCCAGCATAAGCAGCACAGTCCAGCAGCGAAGGCCATGGTATATGGTTTCGCTCAGCTAAGAACTTGTCTGGGAGAATAAGCAATCACCAATGACAGGAGATAGATTAAGATTAATTAACAGTAACTTTAAGGTTGAGGGTAAGATTAAGATTAGTTATGTAGATAGATAAATAGGTATGAAGATAGGTATGTAGGTAAATATCAGATAAGATTCGGCAACGCTAGATAAAACCCATAGGTGGACAAATAGAGATATAAATTGATGGATAGACTGCTGATAGATAGATAGATAGATAGATACATAGATACATAGATAGGTAGATAGGTAGATAGATAGAAAGATAGAAAGATAGATAGATAGATAGATATATACACGCTTGTTTTGGGGTTGTGCGATGATACGCAAGTAATTAAAAATATCTTATATAAATATATAAGATACCTAATAGACATGTAGATATTGATATAAATATATGTTACAACAGGCCAGCAGCTAGGTGAAGTCTCCAGGTCATCGGTTCGCCGGTTCAACCCCCATGCCATTGGACTTCTCTGCAGTGTTCAAAGCCCTCTGTCGTTTCATTATACCGGTTGGTTAATATGGATTCCCATGATGTATAATAGTGATAACCCTAAAAATACTGGACAATATAATCTGCGAACTGATCATCAACCAACCATCACATTTGTCAGTGATATCTACGTCTATCCTACTATGTTGATTGGTAAATCTCTATTAATCAGCCTATCATCAACCAACAAGGGTAGATCATGGTAGATCGCAGGCACTCACCACGCAGGTCCTGGTAAGTATTGATTCTGTAGAACAGCCGCTCCTCCTCAGATTGCCTAAAGGGGCGGGGCTGTGGAGTTGGATGTAGCTTGACGTTACCCACCTGCATAGTTCTATATGGACAAATGCATCTGTTGGATGCGGGTATATATATATATAATATGTGTATATATATAATAATATATATATATGTGTGTGTGTCTGTGTGTGTAGACATATGTATTTATATATGTGTGTGTGCATTTATGTACGTACGACGTACGTACGTACGTACGTACGTAGGTAGGTATGTATGCATGTATGTATGCACAGATACCAGGACAAAACACCAAACAAATATGCGGATCCACCCAGAGAAAAAAAAGAAAAGGTGCTTGTGCCTCCCAAAGACATGATTTATCATTGCAACTGCAACAGGGGTACGTTTGATATACATGTGCGTATTTATATACGTACAACAAAAACAAAAATAATATGTAAGACTCTAAGACAAACTTAATTGCTACTAATAGTTAATAATCAGTATTAATATGCATGATAAATCACAAATTGTGATGAAATTTTATTAAACTTAATAGCATTCAACTGACAATTAATGCGTGTATACGTATATTTCCACAACAAATACAATGCGGGTATCTCATCTTTAATATGGACATGTCAGAAAAATTTGGCTGAGCGAATTCTCTGGGCCGGGGGCATGGGATGCCACATTCAGGACTAGTGGCGTAGTGGCATAGTGATTCCCAAATCAAAGGCGGAAAAAAGACATAAATCAACATACTATATTATAGTCTAGTATATAAGTAAATCATTCAATGTCATTTTTGGCATGATTCCCCCATGTACCGTGAGCTCGCTTGTCAAAAATGATCCAGTTCCCCAGTTCGTGCCGCCAAAGCACAGGATCACCATGGCCTCCTTCTGCTTTGCCAGCTCTTTGCCGTGCTTCTCGCGCATTCCTGCCATTTCCTGCCATCAGGAGTCCATCAGGAGTCTAGAAAACCAGCTGACCATGGCTGGCCGGCTTCGTGCAAGCCCACAAGCATGATTGAAATGACCCAGACAAATACTGCTTGGATAGCTTCAACCCAATCCAAATAAAACACCAATGGAACAGACCTAACTATTTATATGTTCTATTGTGTTCCCTTTTTTGTCCATCAACTGAATGGGACATAAAATCATTACCCTTCAGTGTCATCAAACGTGGCTCGGAAATCCAGGAGGTTTGTAGCTGGAAACATCATCGAACCAAATGAAGGGTTTTCCAACAACATCCAACAACCATGTTTGAGGAGGGTAAGGAATTCATCATCCGCGTTTCTATGTGCAGGGTGTGGCTGTAGGATGTTCACTCAGATGCAAGAGGAAAAGGGGCAAAATCCAGTGGCTATAACGGTCCCATTCTTGGACCCAAATAATTATCATCGTGTGGGTTCTGCCTGAAATGTTCGGCCAACTAATGGCATAATCCCCCGCCTAACTATGATTCGAGGGTTTGGTCGCGACGTGAGGTCGTTATAATTGATCCAGATCATTTCGGATCTCTATATATATATTTACATAATTACATATTATATATGTCTGTGTGTGTGTCATGAATAATCCCCATCATCTTCATCATCAATAATCCCCATCATCCCGCACACATATCATTATCATTGTCAACTCTCGTGGGTTCTTGACATATGCTGCTTTCCTAATATAGGGATACCGCCCCGCGCCTGCACGCAGCTCGTCATGACCTCCTACAGCAAACGCTACGACTGTTGTGCTACAAGAGAACGCTACGACGTTTATAGCTGGTTTGTAAGCCATCTATAACTGGAGATATTCCAGATATATAGTTATATATATGGTATATCTCCAGTTATAGATGACTCACAAACATGCTTGTTACTCATTATTTATGACCTCAACTGAGAGAAAAAAAAGATAGGAGTGCTTTGCAACTGATTTAATATAGATGTTGAAACAGAAAACGTTTCCGAAACCAAAACAACAACCAAATGGCATCATCTGTCGCTGGTCACCTTTCTAGCCATGGGTGTGACATTAAAACATGTTCCATCAATATCTGGGATTTCTCCAACCTCTCCTTGGCCCTTCCCCTCCTGAAAAGGCTTCTTGATCTGGGCCGTCAATTTGGTGGCCGCGTGAGTCATGGTGGGCGAAAGCCAACAGTCCTTGTAGTCGAGAACCTTCTGGCACACGGCACCTGAAGGGTGGGGCAACTGGGCGAAGGGCTGCAACAATAGAAGTCTGTGTAACTGACAATACGCATGACGGGTTAGAACATGTTATGACCCCATTACACATAGTTAGTTTCCATTGGATAACTTCACTGAAGGTCTTTTGCAAAAATACCAACTCATGGCGGCCCGTCCCATGTTCGCAACAAGACTGTTGACCTACACAAGCCTCAAACGGACGTGCACATACGAATGGTTGCCATTGTTGCAGCCCAATATGGCAACTTCATTGAACCAAACAAAAGCCTGCTTGAAAAAAACAATAAAAACACCAACAGCAAGAAACACATGGTGAAAATATGTGAAAACCAACACTTTTTCAAAATATGTACACCCAAGAAAAAGTTCACTGCCGATCCTGCCATACGTGAAGGACTGCAATAACATACACCAAATCAACATATCAGCTGTGTAAAACCTGTCTGAATTAATGCGGTAAAAGCCAAACCCCTAAGCCGTACCCCACTCACCCAATCATTAACCACTTAGGGGACCAAAATCATAAAGGGGATCCTAATCATAAACCACCTAGGGACACCCCAAAAGACAGGTTGATCACATTGGCGCAAAGCCAAATGACTCGTTTATTCATGTTAAAATCCAACTTCCACTGGTTAAAAAATTCCAACCGCAATAAACCGTGGTGAAATCCATCCATCAGATGCTAAATCCCATCAATGATCTATCGCTGAGGAGCTAAGTCTCTCTTCAACCTCGGGGAGTCGTGGCTGGTGGTTTTTTTCAAACCCTCTACGTGTATAGCGGGTAAATCAAAGGATGTAAAGCCAACAACTTGATCATCTTAGATCGAAAGTGACGGATCGAAGCTCTAAGCAATTTGTGGCCATATGTGTGGAGGAAAATAGCGATTAAGAAATGGATTTTGTTGTGTTCCTCTAAATTGTCACATGGACCCCATAACTCTGAGGTAGATTCAAAACATTATAAAATCCTGTGCAAATACATGTTGTAGCTTTCGAAACAGCTGATGGTGTTCCTGCTGGAAACCCATTTGAGAATGTGAAGATTTGAGATGTTTTTCAAGGAAAATTTAGGTCTAGGTGTGTCTTTGAAACAGGTGTAAATCTCATTTTATTGCAATTTTTCAGGGGAAACTTTAGATGTTTCAGCATTGGATTGTTGGGGGTATCCTGGGGGACTGTCATCCCAAGTAGATAGACCCTCAGCATCACCACTGTTTCTTCCAACCCCCATCTCATGGCAGGGGTCGCTTTGTTAGTTGCGGGGTTGGTAATCCATTTATAGATGCAGATATCAAGCCGAAGGGCCAGAGAAGAGGGCTTCTAACTGGGGAACCAGGGTTGCAACCCAGCAAACAGTAATTAAATGTAAAAAGGCACGTGGCCTTTGTGTTGCCTGTCGATCTGTGTATCTGCCTATCCCTCAGTGTCTGCCTCCGGTCAGCCTTCATCTGTCCTTCTGTCTCCTTCGCTCTTCCTTTCTGCTGTATCTGTCTGCATCTCTTTACGTCAATCTTCATTCTAACTCATCTCCAACTATATCACAGTAATCTTAGATACCCTACAAAGTCAGTTCTTAGCTCTCTTGTCTTGTAAGATAATTAAATGGATATTCTCATGGCACCTGAATTGGCACAGGTTGACCCACCCAGATAGCAGCTGACCCAGATGTCAGCGGCCACAGTGCCCCCGGCTGCAACGAAGCCACCCATTCCACTTCTCGGAGTCTCTCTCCAGTGGGATCTTCATCAAGGCAACCTGGGGAAAAAACAAAAACACATCGGAATCGGGGAATCTCCCCCTGCATCCGGCAACTAATTATGTACAGCATTATACAGCGTATCTACAGTATATATATATATATAGACGGGCAATGGAGGTTGTATGCCGTTTTTACCACTCTCAACATCTCATGTGGCACACCCAATCATGAAACATACCCAGTTGATCCTATTATAATCTTTAGCAAGATCTCGAAAACCCATAGCAAAGGAAGGGGCTCATAAATTTACAGTAAACCTAAATGTCAACCATCCCCCAATTTCAGCAAACACGGATTGTGTAAAGTATACATCGCCAAAAAATGCGGGAAAATCAATTGCTTTAGAATGCTTTAGTTTTGGATGTTATATGATGTTATATGTTTTAGATCGGTTTAAAAAATGTTGCATCTTTTCTTGAGGGTTTAGCCTAACCATACCTATTGGGCCTATTTCACCGACTTAGCCATCATAAATCGCTGGATCAATCCCATGAAATCCCCGTATTTCTGGTTTCAAACACCATTTTGGTGGGTGATACATCCCATTTTTCTCGGTGAAATCAGCCCTTTCCAACTCCAAAGGGGCCCTAAGGCCCCCCGTGGCCGGACTGTGGAGGCCAGGGAGCGCTTCACTGCTTCCCACGCTGAGGACAGGAGATCCAGCCAATCTGCGGATTGATCTCTGGTTATGGAGCAATATCACTAGATACTCAGCAGATAATCCAGATAATATGATAGCCAGATAATATCAAAATATATGTCAATCAATCAATCAATCAATCAATCAATCAACCAACCAATCAATCAATCAATCAATCAATCAATCCAAATACTCACTAGATAATATGATAGCCAGATAAAATCAATCAATCAATCAATCAATCCAGATACTAACCAGATATTTTTTACCTGATGAGTCTTAAAGAATCCAGATTTCGAATGGCTTGATATTATGGATTAAGAATCCATATTAATATGGAAGAATACGGATTGTGTAATTATGTTGACACATGAACATAACTCCAATGTCACTATGGATTATGATACTTATGACTACTGTATTCATGGGGATTGTAAACCAACTTAGAAAACTGGTCATACCCTCCGGTGTCATCAAAACTGGCGAGCTGGAACCTCCCCGAACTAAATGGAGATGCATAGCTGGGAAAATCATCGAGTTAAATAGCGGATGTTCCATTGCGGAGGGTAGTGAGATATTTAATAAAGTAATTGTGATATTGAACCGGATATAGAACCAACAATATGATTTAGGGCTTAGGGATTTAAGAATCCCATCCCCCTGATAAAATATTATAGATATCCCGTATCCCCCATTGTCAAACTCTTGGGACCCCCAATTCATGAATAATTAGTTCCGATACATTCCGATACATTCCACTAAGGTGTTCGAATTTTGGGTAACTTCTATTGCGGGAAGGAAGAACTACTTCCGAAATAAAACAAGAAAACATAACAATCAATAAGGGAACTTGAAAAAGGCATAAAAGGGTCATTTCAATTCCTCTCCCGATTTCAGAAAGGGGTGGTTCACCTATCACCAATTCGTTGGGTGCCGTTTCACTGGCACATTCTGCGAATTGATGAGTCGATATCCAATCGTCCCCGGAGACAAGTCAAATAAATTCTCTTGGAAACTTCAAGTAACATAATAAGTACCCCAAACCATGGGATAATCATGGGATAATCATGGGATAATCATGGGGTAATCATGGGGTAATCATGGATCATCTGAGATTATAATGGATTATAATGGATTATATTATAATACCCTCTGGTAAACGTTTACATAGGGAACTGGGAAATCACCATTTTTTAAAAGTAAATCAACTAGAAATGGGCCATTTTCAATAGCTATGTTAAATTATAAGAGGGTAACCAACCCAAACCACCACTCCATGATTCGCTGAGCACCTGGAATGTCAAAGTCGCAGTTCAGCTTCCTCAAGGGGCCAGATCCAAACTCAGATTGATTGAATTTGGCGCGGCTCCAGAAACAATGGGCATATGATGAGCGACAAGAATACCAGGCACACACACGTATATATATATATACGCATATTTTATGCATACTATCACAGAACAAACCATGAACCCCTAAATAGGGCCTATATTTCGATTCCAAAAATGGCCCCATCACGGCAAAGACAATGTAGCCAATCGGAAATAGTGAAGGATATTCTCGAAGAGCATGCAAAGGTCGGTGGAGCCTTCACAGGATGGCTGCAGGCGAAATGTTTCATTCCAGCTCCTCATTACAATCATAACATCTGGGCCAGTCCAAGTCCCCTGCAACCCCTGCAGTCAGCGTTAAAGTGACAAAAGCAAGGTGGGCCAGAGAACCCAAAAGCATGACGGCACACAGCACGCCTTTTAATCTTGTGGTGTGGGCAGCTGTGCTCTGCACGAAATCGACGTAAGATCTGTACTGAAGCATCGTGCGCACTGACGGTATCAGGGGCCACAATTCACCACAGCATGCTGTGTCAGCTACGTCTACATTCTTCTAGTCGCTTTTTCTGCTAATGTAATTAATTCCGTCCCATCTTATCTATTTCTGCGTTCTCATTTCATCTGCTAGAGACCCCTAGAAAAATGTGACCACACCCAATCCCCTGCGACCCCTGCGGTCAATGTTGAAATTTGTCAATGTTTGAATACCGATCGAACAGACATCAATAGACATGAAAGGCTTTCATTCTGGGAGGTCTCCTCGATAGACATCAAACATTTATTCTGAAAAGTCCGCGGCATGTCAACATTGACTGCAGGGGTTCAAGGGGATCCCCTGCGGCTTTTCTTTCAACTAAGCAGCTGCACCTGCCAACAAACAGTACTGGGCCTTCCACAAACGCGCGTCGTACTACGCAATCATGAAGAGACATGCAAACTCAGATGTATAGACATATATATATATATATATATCGCCGCGCTAATCGTCGGGTTACGCCACGTCGAGAAATAAAATCAAATCAGTCTCAAACAACAGTCCATCACAAATGAAACCATCGACTGAACAGGTCCGAGTTGCCAAAGAAAAATTGCACAACGTGAAACCACCGTACTGAAAATCAAAATCAAGCAACCAACACTCAGATGTATTCCCTCGGGCTGCTTCCTTTCGAGGATCGAAGCAAAGATGCGGAACATCCGTCTCTCTTAGGATCGACTAACCCATGTCTAATTGCTGTTTGCATAAACAACTATCTGATGTCCGAGTCCCTTTCGAGGATGGACGCAAAGCTTGCGTGTGCGGAACATGTCTTCGGATCGATTGACCCATGTCCAAATGAGGTTCACATGAAACCCTTCCCCACTTCATTTGAACCGTGCTACTGCTGCCACGGAGGCTGCTTCGCTCAGACTCACGGCCGCAATACTCAAGTAGTTTCTGCTCAGCGCAAACATCAAGACACCTGGGAAGACAAGGTGCTTGACTTGCAATTTTACTATAATCTGATTTCAGGGTAAACTGGGGTTAAGGAAAAAAAAACGCTAGGAGGCCGTTTCGAGGATCGAAGCAAAGCTGCAGAACATCGGTCTCTCTTAGGATCGACTAACCCATGTCTAATTGCTGTTCGCATAAACCACCATCTGATCCATTACGTCAAGTGCATCATCAAGTTAGTGAGCCCCTTACCGTTTTACATGGTTTCCTTTTTTACATATATTTTGGCAATATTTTACCTCTGCTTAAGCATAGTTTTGAAGCGCGTCCACTCGGATTCTCATCCTTGGCGATCTTTGTTTGCGCGCGTTGGGGCGCACTTGTGCTTTTGCCCGTGCCTGTCTGGTCCTCCTTCGCGCTGCTTGGGCGGTCTCTTCAACCAGCATGTCTGTTGGAAAGAAAATGGGTTGTGGCATGCTTTGGCCACTTACAGCTGCTAACCTCAAAATTTATCCAGCCGGGGCACAAACCTTTAGTCCATCACTACAACATATTGCCAACATCCACCACCGGTTCGGCCTTTTGTGTGACCAGTCGGTCACCCGGGGCGCTTTTGGAAAAAAAATACTGTCGTTGGTTGTCACATGCGTGCAAGACTGAATGAATAGTTCGCCGCGGTGTACCAAAGCTAGGCCAGGCAGCATGGAGTTGGCCACTCCTATACTGCCTGCGAATAGATGCATGGTTTCCGTAATCTGAGCTACTCGCTGCCGAGGTTAAGCAGCCCCACCTAGGTGGCTAAAGTAATGTAAAGCCATGTAAAGTCTTAAAGTCAACCCACCGCATGGGCACACCCATTCATGGTGAAGTGGATCCATCCGTGAAAAACAACCCTGCCTAAGCAAACACTATGCCCACACCACAAAACGCGCAAGCATGCGCAACCAAAAAACGTATCGCTTTGCTGTGAGTCCCCTATTGTTTTAGCGGGTTTCATGCAACAGTCAACATCCGATGCACACCCCAGTACACACTTAAGCAGCCCAAATTTTGACGGAATCTCAGATTTCGGGTAAACTGCGGTTGAGGGGAAAAAAACGGTCAAGAAGTTAAACCCCATTCTCTTCGAGGATCGAAGCCAAGAACATCCGTGTCTCTTAGGATTGGAAAGACATCAATAGACATCAAAGGGTTTCATTCTGGGAGGTCTCCTCGATAGACATCAGAGATTTAATTCTGAAAGGTCCCCGGCATGTCAACATTGACAGCAGAAGAAAATTCCCCACGGCTTTTCTTTCTGGGCGTCAAGGGCTTCATCTGCTTACATGGAATCCATTTGATTTTCATCTGCTGCGACTTCTCACCCGCACCTCTTGGTCTCTCTGCAGGATCCACGATGCATAACATTTTGTGCAACTGAAAATCTTCTTGAAAGCAGGGTCTGGATTGGGTAAAGTGTGCGGAAAATGAAGCATGGAGCCAAATCTGCTGTCCCAGGCCATTGTGTCCAAATGGGTCGGTCCCTGGATTGGATGCTGCGACGTCATGAACACGATCACATTTTCATTGTGGTTCACATTCCACATGTAGTCTTGGGCTCCTTCTCCTCCCTTGGGCACGCCAATCAGAAATGGCTTGCAATCCAAAATATTCAGGAGGTCACCCCAGGACAGTGGCGGATGTGGGAACCGGAAATCGTTCCAAACCAAGGCCTTCTTTCCGATGAGGGTGTGCAATGGGAAGGATGTTGCCACTTGCGGCTTCAACATGACATATTGCTTGAAAAGAGCTAGGATTGGCCGCGTCAATGCGGTTTTCCCAGACGAAGGAGCACCATAGTAGAAATGATTCATTCCTTTTCCTCCACCAGACTGGAACAAGCGCACAATGGAGTCCCGGTAGTCCGCAATGGCAATGCCGTTGTGCTCCAGCAAAAAGTTCCATCCAGGAATGGCGCGGCCGTTGCAAGAGCAAGTGTGGCGCAGACCTTGAGAAAGGATGTCAAAATGAGATGCATCTCGGTCCTGCCATCACAAACGGGCTGGCTCTTTGAGGGGTGTATCTCATGTAGTACAGAGTCCAGAAAAACTCATATTTAAGGTCGTTTCTAAATTCAGCTGGAGCTTCTTAGAAGGTTTTCATTCAACTGGGACACATGCCAGATCTGCTTGGGCTGACATATGACATATATAACAAAACCGATAATAATTTCTAACATGCACATCCAAGGATGGAGCACCAAAAACACTCACACCGAAGACCTTGCCTTTGAATCCTTTGCCTTGCTACATGCACTTCCGACCTGCTACCATGAATCCTTTTGAAACAAGTGTCCAACACAGTGCGCAAGACACAAAGCGGAGCCAGTTCAAGTCCTCCAATCTTCTGCCTGCGGTTTCGACAGCCCAAACAGCAGCAATCTGTTCCTGCAGTCTTTTCGCCTGCGTCCCATAGGCCACGCTCAACCACCGATCGTCGCCACCATCCGCCTGCCTTTTTGCAAAGGCATAGAAAGCATCCAAGGATCGAATCTCTTGTTGTCGAAGAACATTTCCAAGCTCCAATGGCTTCACACGCTTTGGACGTCTGTCTTTCACAAGCCGTTGCAAAATGTCTGGATGCCCACGACTCAAGAGGTAACAAGTGTCTAAGTGTTCCCGAGGCTTCTTGGCACTGGGCACATAACAATAAGCAAATGCACCCCAGTAGACCGAACGGCCGGAGCCGGCCGCCGAGCAGTGCATGGGGCGGTCTTGGCTTCGAAGAACCCGCGCAATTGCTCGCCATCGGTGTCTCTCATCGCTCTCTACGATGATATGGAAATGGAACTGCCGCTCTAGCTCAGACCGGGAGGTCGGGTGATGCTCACGAAACACCGAGTAGTGGAGAATCTGCACACCTGCTGCAGCATAGGCATTCGTAATGACGGTTGCAACATCTTCTCGGCTCATCTCTGGTGCTCGGGCATAGGTCCACATGTAGACTTGTCTGCGATCATCTTTGGCCGCACTTCTGTAATTGTCAACACGGTCGTGCAAGGGGCATTCATCTTCGGATTCCGCTTCCACTTCCGACGATGACCGTGAGGAGCTGGAGCTGGAAGGTCCCTGTTCATCAGTCAACTCAGCATCATTTTGATTATCTGCATCACCCATACCTGGCGGAGCATCAGGCAATTCTGAACCTTCATGCTGAGCATCACCAAGGCCGCGCTCATTAGGCGAGACTTGTTCCTGCTGATCATGCTGTTGAGATTGGTCACTAACATCTGCAGAAGGTCGCTCTGCATCAGTCAACTCAAGCTCTTCGCATTGATGATCACCAATGCTACGCTCCCCAGGCGACTGAGAAAGTGCATGCTGAGCATCACCAAGGCCAGGCTCCTCAGAAGAGGCTCGTTCCTGCTGATCATGCTGTGGAGGTGGGTCATTACCCTCTGCCAAAAAACGCTGTTCACCACTCAACTCAGGATCCTCATTCTCATGCTGATCACCACCGACGCAGTTCTCCTCCGAAGAAATTTGTTCTTGCTGATCATGCTGTAGAGGTTGGCCACGACTCTCTGCAGAAAGCCCATGTTCATCTGTCAACTGCGCATCATCATCATCAATGATAATTTCGTTCGCCCGCAACCATTGCAGAATGTCATTTCGCCGCATCCGCGGCCGGTGCGAATCCACATGAAATCAAACAAAGATGTTGAAGTGAACTCACGTGCTTCATGAAACGCCCAAAAACTCACATAGCAAAAATGTGCTGTTGCAATGGCACCAAATCGCGCCTACAAGTTGCCCTTATGAAGCTGTCAACATGAACATGAAAAGTCACTTCGGTTTCTTGCTGCAGCGAGGGATGCAACCAGAGTGGCAAAGGTTGAACTTGATCGAATTTGCACAACGCATGCGCAACATGCGGACATCAATCATATGCCGTGTCACAGGTCCCTGGGGTCCGAAAAAGGAAGAAGTGGGATACCACCAAATCCATGAGTCTCCAAATTAAATTGTCAGCATCTAAGATGGAAAACGCGGAAGGAGCGTGCGCAAGCGAAATACACAAGAAGGAACGAATCACAGGCTGAGAGAAAAACAGAGAAGGGCAAAAGAAAGTTACAGGAAGAAAGAGGCACCAACGCAAAACCAAATACTGTCGCAAAGCACAAACAAAGAGCCAAAGCAGCCCAATAATTTGTTTATTTTTTGCCTGATTTGGGCCATAAAAGGTGTGGAAAACTGGACCAGAAAACTTCAAGGAGAAAACCTTGGAAAGGTTGCTAAGATACAAGTTTGTTATTTTACTTTGTTTTTGTTTTTTCTTTTCAAGGTTTGTTTCTGGCCACAGAAAGGTTATTCAACAATTGCTGGCATTTTCAAGAACATATTCTGGGAAGGGCGGCCATTTAGTTTTGTGACACCAAGTTTCCAGAGTATTTTTCGCATTTGTTCGATTGATTTCTTTAGATGCGTGTTTTTGGTTAAAATCGCTTCTCAAAAATGGATGCACCTTTCAAGAACAAAATTTTGGCGATTGGGGCCAATTAAAATGGCATATAGTCTTGTGACACCAAGCTGCCAGATCATTTTGTCGCATTTTTTCGCTTGATTTCTTTAGATGCGCGTTTCTTGGTCACAAACGCTAGTGAAAAAGGGATGCACCTTGGGGCCAATTAAAATGGAGTATAGTCTTGTGACACCAAGTTTCCAGATTTTTTTTCGATTTTTTCGGTTTTTTTACGATGCATTGTTTTTGATCACAAACGCTAGTGAAAAAGAGATGCATCTTTCAAGAACAAAATTTTGGCGGTTGGGGCCAATTAAAATGGCATATAGTCTTGTGACACCAAGCTGCCAGATCATTTTGTCGCATTTTTTCGCTTGATTTCTTTAGATGCGTGTTTCTTGGTCACAAATTTAAGTGAAAAAGCGATGCACCTTTCAAGAAGACAACCTTGGGGCGCTGGGGCCAATTAAAATGGAGTATATTTTTGTGACACCAAGTTTCCAGATGTTTCTGTTCGATTTTTTCGGTTTTTTTACGATGCATTGTTTTTGATCACAAACGCTAGTGAAAAAGAGATGCATCTTTCAAGAACAAAATTGTGGCGCTTGGGGCCAATTAAAATGGCATATAGTCTTGTGACACCAAGCTGCCAGATCATTTTGTCGCATTTTTTCGTTTGATTTCTTCAGATACGTGTTTCTTGGTCACAAACGCTAGTGAAAAAGGGATGCACCCTTCAAGAACACAACCTTGGGGCGCTGGGGCCAATTAAAATGGAGTATATTTTTGTGACGCCAAGTTTCCAGATTGTTTTTTCGATGTTTTCCCCTTATTTCTTTAGATGCGTTGTTTTTGGTTACAAACGCTAGTGAAAAAGGGATGCACCTTTCACGAACAAAACTTGGGCGGTTGGAGCCAATTAAAATGGCATATAGTCTTGTGACATCAAGCTGCCAGATCGCCCCGGTTTTGTTCTGGCAAACTGCATTCATTTGTCTAGAGCATTTGCGACGAAAAACATGCATCTAAAGAAATTCAGCCAAAAAACAAAACAATCATCTGGAAACTTGGTGTCACAAAACTATATTCCATTTTAATTGGCCTCAGCTTCCCAGGTTTTGTTCTTGAAAGGTGCATCCCTTTTTCACTAGCGTTGGTGACCAAAAAGACATGGATCTAGAGAAATTAAGCGAAAACTAGTATCTTGTTGTCACAAAACAATATTCCATTTTAACTGGCATGATTTTTTGGCAGTGCTTTTTTGATTGTAATTTTGGTCAAAAATCAACAGCAGCATATCCAAATTAAAATGGGCCTGCCACGCACTGACTTTGGGCGGTCAGAATTTGTTTTGAGCTGCAGCCATGCCAGAAGATTGCCAGATCAAAATGTCAAATATATTTCGTTCTCTCTTATTACCTTTGAACGCATGTAGATCATTTTACAACCATATTCTTGTGGGCCACACATATATCTATATCTATATCTATATCTACATCTACATCTACATCTATATCTATTCAAATTGAACCAAAACTTTTTGTGGTATCTTGAACGTTTAATCACCTTAGCCCAACGTTAAATTCATCCCTCATCGTCAGTTCTGCTTGCCAAAAACGGCCCACTTCTTCCACAAAAATTTGCACGAGAGGCTGATTCGCTCAAGCTCACGCCAAAAGCTGCATCGCAACCCTTGCGTCCATTCGGCAGGTGAGTTGTTACACACTCCTTAGATTCGATGTTTTGGACTTCCATGACCACCGTTCTGCTGTCAAAATGAACAAAAACCTTTGTGGTATCTTGAACGTTTAAGCATCTTAGCCCAACGTTAAATTCATCCCTCATCGCCATTTCTGCTTGCCAAAAACGGCCCACTTCTTCCACAAACATTTGCACGAGAGGCTGATTCGCTCAGGCTCACGCCAAAAGCTGCATCGCAACCCTGGCGTCCATTCGGCAGGTGAGTTGTTACACACTCCTTAGATGTTTTGGACTTCCATGACCACCGTTCTGCTGTCAAAATGAAGAAAAACCTGTTGTGGCATCTGGAACGTTTAAGCACCTTAGCCCAACGTTAAATTCATCCCTCATCGCCAGTTCTGCTTGCCAAAAAACGGCCCACTTCTTCCACAAACATTTGCACGAGAGGCTGGTTCGCTCAGGCTCACGCCAAAAGCTGCATCGCAACCCTGGCGTCCATTCGGCAGGTGAGTTGTTACACGCTCCTTAGATGTATTGGACTTCCATGACCACCGTTCTGCTGTCAAAATGAAGAAAAACCTGTTGTGGCATCTGGAACATTTAAGCACCTTAGCCCAACGTTAAATTCATCCCTCATCGCCAGTTCTGCTTGCTAAAAACGGCCCACTTCTTCCACAAAAATTTGAGGCTCACGCCAAAAGCTGCATCGCAACCCTGGCGTCCATTCGGCAGGTGAGTTGTTACACACTCCTTAGATGTTTTGGACTTCCATGACCACCGTTCTGCTGTCAAAATGAAGAAAACCTGTTGTGGCATCTGGAACGTTTGAGCACCTTAGCCCAACGTTAAATTCATCCCTCATCGCCAGTTCTGCTTGCCAAAAAACGGCCCACTTCTTCCACAAACATTTGCACGAGAGGCTGGTTCGCTCAGGCTCACGCCAAAAGCTGCATCGCAACCCTGGCGTCCATTCGGCAGGTGAGTTGTTACACGCTCCTTAGATGTATTGGACTTCCATGACCACCGTTCTGCTGTCAAAATGAAGAAAAACCTGTTGTGGCATCTGGAACATTTAAGCACCTTAGCCCAACGTTAAATTCATCCCTCATCGCCAGTTCTGCTTGCCAAAAACGGCCCACTTCTTCCACAAAAATTTGAGGCTCACGCCAAAAGCTGCATCGCAACCCTGGCGTCCATTCGGCAGGTGAGTTGTTACACACTCCTTAGATGTTTTGGACTTCCATGACCACCGTTCTGCTGTCAAAATGAACCAAAACCTTTTGTGGTATCTTGAACGTTTAAGCACCTTAGCCCAACGTTAAATTCATCCCTCATCGCCAGTTCTGCTTGCCAAAAACGGCCCACTTCTTCCACAAAAATTTGAGGCTCACGCCAAAAGCTGCATCGCAACCCTTGCGTCCATTCGGCAGGTGAGTTGTTACACACTCCTTAGATGTTTTGGACTTCCATGACCACCGTTCTGCTGTCAAAATGAGCCAAAACCTTTTGTGGTATCTTGAACGTTTAAGCACCTTAGCCCAACGTTAAATTCATCCCTCATCGCCAGTTCTGCTTGCCAGAAACAACAAGAACAGATCAGGTTAGACATTATCGCAGCTGCAGCAACAGGAACTTGTTTTGGTAGAAGAAACAACTCTATACGCACTACGTTGCTACGCAAGGGCCTGCCTCATACCACAACCTCATACCAGGACCCCGAAGCGAATGTTACAACCTGTCGCCGGGAAAAAAAAAAGGTCCAGCTTTCAACTCCTGCACTCATCTGGGGGCCTGCCACCGCAAAAATGCACATTTTCACCTGGGAGTCTGCCACCGCAAAAAAAAAGGTTAAGAAGGTTCAGCTTTCAACTGACGCACTCATCTGGGAACCTGCCACCGCAAAAAACCACAGAAGGTGTAGCTTGCAAGTGTCGCATTTTCATCTGGGAGCCTGCCACCGCAAAAACGTCAAGAATATCCAGCTTGCAGCTGTCACATTTTCACCTGGGAGCCTGCCACCGCAAAAAAAAGGTAAAGAAGGTTTTGTTTTCAACTGCCACACTCATCTAGGGGCCTGCCACCGCAAAACCGTCAAGAATAGGCAGCTTGCAGCTGTCACATTTTCACCTGGGAGCCTGCCACCGAAAAAAAAAGTAAAGAAGGTTTAGTTTTCAACTGCCACACTCATCTGGGAGCCTGCCACCGCAAAAACGTCAAGAAGAGGCAGCTTGCAGCTGTCACATTTTCACCTGGGAGCCTGCCACCGAAAAAAAAGTAAAGAAGGTTTAGTTTTCAACTGCCACACTCATCTGGGAGCCTGCCACCGCAAAAACGTCAAGAATAGGCAGCTTGCAGCTGTCACATTTTCACCTGGGAGCCTGCCACCGCCAAAAAAAAGAGCAAAGAAGGTTCAGCTTTCAACCGCCACACTTATCTGGGAGCCTGCCACCGCAAAACG